TATATATGCATGTGTGAGGGATAGAAGTTGAGAGCGTTGATATATGTTGAGGTTGAAGCTGTGGATTTGTGCCGAATGTTTGGATGAGGCAGTTGGTACATATTATTCAAGAGTTGATGGGGTGTGGTGTGGAGCCTCGAGTAGAACTAGCTTTACGACGAACTCTGTTCTTTGGTTTAATACTCCTTGGTTACCTAGTTTTTGGTGCTTTAATCTTTTCTGCTTTACCAAAACGACAACAGACTTTGGTAAGCCATTTGAAATTTTCTGATTTATTATTTCATTAGATAATTGAGGATAAAATCTGGCGCTACCATATTACTGTTACATATCTTCTGTCACTTTCTTTTAAAAAAAATGCAAAAATATCTGCAATAGAAATGTGCGCATTGGTTTGTTTAAATTATAACTTTTCTTAAGAAATCTCCATTTTGTCACACTTTCTCACTGCAAGGAATGGCTGTTAAGTCTGTCATGATATATTTCGCTTAGAATTATCCTTCAATTTAATCAAATGATCTGCAGAATTTTGAAGTACAACTATTTTTTCAAATTGATAAATGATGAAGTGTAATGGTAGAATTAGTTAAGGAATATACTTATTAGTTCTATAGATTTTTCATTTATAGAACTTAATTTTATCAAAATCAGTTACTGTTACGAAACTGTTGAGAATTTAAAATATTCTAATAGACCTTCTTTGCTTTTCACAACAAATATGAGCTTTTACACAAATGTCATTTTTTCAGCAATAATTGATTGATGAACAAATCCAAATTATGAACAACATATACTGTTATAATTCAAAAAGAAAATTCTGACCCTCACTGTTCTGTTAAACGCTATTTCATATCTGCTTAATGAAAAATTAATTTCCACTACTTCATTGCTAATTCCTTACATATGTATATAATTTCATATTTAAATGGGTGTGTTAAAGACTGCCCACAATATTTTTGAAATGGTACAATATTCACCAGTAAACCTGTTGATTTATTTTTTTTTATAAATGGTTTGACTGCTTGTTTCTCGTGAAACTCTTGAACTTTTGGTGGTAATACATGATCTCTTTTCCTGCTTCTTGGGACATTGAGAGAAATGTCAAGAAAATTATGACGCATAAATTTTATAGAAATGTGAGAAAAGTGCAGCACGGTTGGATGCGCAACGGAGTGAAATGTTAAATGTGTTTTGGGCAGAAACCATGGTCCAGTCAGAACATGAATGGTTTTTGATGGCTAATCAGAAATTGGACATCTATGAGCGGCTTGTGCTGAATTCATGTCGAAGAGTCGCCGCTTCACCATCAAAATCATTCAATAAAGCATTCATACATGCTTTTACTCTGGTTACTACAATTGGTAGGCTAATAATTATTTAAAAATCAGCTTTAAATGTGTGAAATAATTTAGTGGAACCATTCTGGAGGATTTTTTTAGTAAAAAAAAAAAAAAAAAACATATTACGCTTCAAAATTTTGAAATTTAAAAGACTCGAATTAAAAATCAAAAAATTCAGCTATTCAAGGTTTTTGTGAGATTTTAGAACTCAGAATATTCATGAATTCAATTAAATCTTAAGAACTAGAATGTATTTCAAAAAAACTTGGTTGTTGTAAGGAAGAAGAAATTACCAAAAATCTTGTTCAGTGACTGATTGATTAGAGTGATTCCTACGGTTGACATCGTAACTTTTTTTTGGTAGGTCTGTACATTGCTTCTTTAGGTAATGCATCACCATCTAAACTCTTTTTATTGAATAATTGGAAATGTGGCGGTGATTCTGAAAGAAAATTTTATTCATTTAAAAGTCAAAAAAATTCAATAATTTCTTTAGGATTCCTAGATGAGGAAAATTTCTCACCAATTGGTAAAATAGCAGCAATGAGTTATGGTATTATTGGCATACCGCTGGCACTTTTATACGTTGCTCAGTGCTCCAAAATGTTTGTTGGTCTTCTTCCGGGTAACCATATCTTTATAGCGGCACTTGTAGCTATTTTTGCAACAGCCGTTGTTTTCGACATTATTGAGGAATCCAACGACGATACGGCATGTTTAAATTTTTTGAATTTTAAAAATAATGAAACTATTCCTCGAATTTTCAAGTTTGTTCAAATTAGTCACTAAAAACATTATTAATACATTGTGCCACGTTTGATCCTTCAAAATTGGAAAAGTAAATATACCCATTATTGTGGGAAACATGGCAACCATTTTTTAGTGGTGATCTAGTTTGTTCAATAACTTTAGTTTCAGCATAACAAGCAAATCGAATTTCATCTAGAAATCTCATTTTCTCAGATCTACTTTCTTTTTGGAATTTTAAATTGCTTTTTTTCGGAATTTTTTCAAAAATTTGCGCTTCTTCGCATGAATTTTTCAATAGTTTCATTTTTATCAACAACAATTCCCAATTACCTGATTTCTTTCTATTCCTCCTTTTTTTCAATAATACTATATCAGATCTCCTGTTCAAGTACATTAGGACATATCGGGCGATCGTGGAGTGAGAGAGAAATGCATCACTTAATTAGTGAATATAAAATTCACTTTAGCCGTTCATCGACGCCGTCTTCCATGTATTTCTAATATTATCAACGGTGGGAAGCTGCAATATCGAACCACCTGTTACACTTATCTTTGTCGCTCTGTTCGCTGTTGGTCTAATATCTGTATCTTATGTATTGATCGATCGGCAGATCGAACATGCTTTGCAGGTAAATATTATTCATCATTCCTTCAAGTTACTGATTTCGCTACTCCACACTAGCTACTGTTGAATATCAGTCAGTTTTAGTTAAATTAGAAATCCTTCCAGTGCGAACGTGTTTCGGAAAAAAAATCTAATCTTATATTTCGTTGTTATTAATATTAGACCTTTACTTGCTAAATTTTCGACTAGAATTGTAATAAATCACAATATGGGACACCAAACTCGTTTTAATGAAGTAGAAGCTTCATTTCCAGGGATTCGAATTGCTATTTAGCAAATATTTTGGTATACTTCGGCGTTGGATGTGCAGTAAAGATGAACTTGAGGAAAATAAGATAATTGAGGAAGAAGAAGAAACCGAATCTGATACATAGTTGGCTTGTATTTAATTAATTTTGTATCGTGAAATATTGGATAAATTCTGATGGCTTTTAGCCACTTTGATATTGGAACCGAATCTGATACGTAATTGATTTATATTTTAATCAGTTTCGAATTCCACACTATTGGTGAATGCTGATAGTTTTTCTCGGCAGTACCTGTAGCAATCATCATAATGACTACCTAAGGTTTAGTTTCGCATATTGCTTTATTCTGAAATTCGGATGTATTCAAATTTTGTAAGTTTATTCACAACAAACTGATATGATCTTCCGCTTCATATATCAATATTTTGACCTTAGTTCATCTTTCCGATTTTCAAAGAAAAGTAATTTAGGTTTGAGAAAATTTCATATTCCGGAAATTGAGACCAAACTTTACCACTGAGTTTTGGAAAAATAAAATGGTACTAATATATATATATATATAAAATAGCAATACATCATGTTATTGTTCTGTATGAAAGTCTATTCTTCTTCCGTCTTCTCCAAAATCATTGAATGTTTGTTTGCTATGTGTTTAGGGTAATTGATGAAATAAATTTTGAGATTTTAAACTTCTTTTTGAATTTTGTGCGTAATTGTTGCAGTCGTTGCTGATTTGCTAATATCCAAAAATAGCTGCTTAGTGGACTAAACCATTTCATTTCTTCCTCTTCCGGTGAACTTCCCAGGTAGATATTATAAGAGAGGATTTGATTTGCATGGTGCATAACAAGCATAAAATAACTTTGGCATATCACTTCAACGAGTTCATTCACAAATTTAAAAGTTTAATAAAAAAGAAATTTCCAAAAAATTTGAGAAGATCCAACTCTCTCCGTTCCTCTAATTTCTCTTCTATCCGAAATTTAATGACTCAATTCATTCTCTTAAGAGAAGATCTGTTTGTTAAATTTATCAAACTATTCCGAATAACTCTAACTTCCAGAGCTAGTTGGAATTCTTCTCCATTTTTAATTGACAAAAGAAATCGGAACAGACTATTTTATGTAAGCGGACAAAATAAACACATTTGGCAGTAAGAAGCTAATATCAATTATGAAAATTTCAAGTTCCCTTTAGCACAAGCATCAGTGAATATAATAATAATTCATTTGCTTATTATATCAAAATTTCTCATTTTTCTCTCAGTGAATCGAATATCACTTAATCAAGATTGAAGAGTTTTGAAAAAAAAGAATTAAAACCTTTTCAACTTGCAGTAGCAAAAAAAGATCAAAGAAAGTTGAAAGTTTTAGCACTTCATTGTTTGTTGAATAAAGACAAGATATTAGCATGAAATACGTTCTTTATTTAAAATGATATTGAAATCTATTGGATTAATTTTTCTCGAATGAAGCTAATGGTAAAATTTTACTTCAGTGATGGTCAAATATAAGTGAAAAATAACTGGAATAGTGAACACATGAGATTAAATTGAGCACCATTATGTTACTTTATCACAATCATGATAGAAACGATATTTAGAAAATAATCTCGAAAAGAGAATCGAATAATCAGGAAGGGAATCGAAATAAAAACAGAATCAGTACATTAAAAGACCACTCCCTTCGCAGTTCAGAATTTAATAGGGAGAATTCGATCAACGTTTATTAAATATGCAAATTTAATCTACCACATGTAAAGACTGTTGTCCGAGATTCCTCCATAATTTTTTATCAGCATTACCCTGTTCATTTTAACAAATGTTATTTTTGAAATCTCTATAATATTTTCTAAATCAATGTTTTGCAACTGTTGATGATATTGTAAACAAATATCATTGTACTTTCTGATGTTTTCAAGAAAATGTTTTTCACATCTAAATAAAATTACCCTACTTATTGATATCTCTTTTTGCAGAATAGGCTCAAAATAATACGTAACAAACCTCTGTGGGACGAGATTTTCATTCTGGCATTTATAACCAACTTTTTTTGAAAGGTCAAACATAAATGACAGTACTTTTGAAGAAGTTGAAATCACTCGGAATGCTTTATCCGGCGCTATCCACCTTAAAAAACTTCAATGCTTTCTTAATTAATATGACTTGATTGAAGTTGCAATATCACAGTGGTTAGAAACGGTTTTCTCGTTCATTACAGTCCAATCATTCATACAAATTTTCATTATTATTCCAAGAATTATGCACTTATTCACTTACGATACAATAAATCAACAGATGTTGAGGTATTGTACTGTTAAATTAATAGCTACAGCTTTCTTGAGAAAAAAAATTCATAAAACAAAAAATTTGTGTAATCGCATAATCTTCGAATTATTGGTAGCAGCTTACTTTTGAAATACTACTATGTATGTTGAACTGGATTATGTAATTTTCAAAATCTCAGAAGGAGTAGCTAGTCTATCACGGTCCATTCGATTTTAAGGTACTAATTAAGGAATAAAGGTTAACGCAATTTCTAAAAATATTGTGTGAAAATTTCTGTTCCTAATCAGAAAAATGATGGCGAAAACAATACTAATATTATCAACAGTATTGCCGTTAGGTTAGGTCATTATTTTCTCATGCTCATTTCATTTAATAATTGTGCTATTCTAAATTTATTTCTCAATTCAAAAGCATTCTTGACATTTCAAGTTTGTATCGAACATTTTAAATTTGCAGCAAATGATGTTGTTTATTGGCGCAAACAACTCAGGAATGATATTGTATTAAGCAGAAATTCTCAACTCGATGATAAATCAACGAGAGAGTACTTGAGGAAAGCGGCGATAACTATACACAATGATAAACGTGTAGATTAAGATGGCATCAAAGGCATTCAAACTATACCAACAAAATGTAAGATGATGTTATTGTATAAATATGCTAGGCTGTAGCTCGAATTCGACTTAGTAGTGATTCCCGGACAACATTGTACAAATAGCGCTGTCGTTTCGATTCGAGATCCAACTCTGTTTGATCATCCTTTTCCGGCTTTGAACAGGACGTTAATCGTGTTGATTTTACTTCACGCAACAACTTGGTAAATAAAAAACACCGCCGTTTTGAGTTGATTTGTGATGGATCTTGAAATTTTCCTTTTCTGAAAGAAACACATAGAATTTTGGAATCCAAAGGCAGCTGGTAATATCATATGTTATTATTACTTTAACAATTATTAACAATTCCCTTCCTAGGAACTTGAGAAAAAAAAGTTGAAATTTAACATATTTTTCCAAAAATTTTTCTTGGATCTACAATTCTGGAAAAAAATAAAGAAGTGCAATGATGATTTTTAAAAAGCAAACAGTTAGAGTTAAAGAAAAGATGGACAGAGTGGAAGAGGGAGAATAAACAAATAAAGTGCTCCTGGCAATTATGAAGAATCTGGCAGCTCTCTTCCTTCCTGATTTTTCTTATTTTTCATAAACATTGATAAGACAGATCCCATTATGGCATCAACTGCTAATAGCTCCTTAAAAAGAAAAATAATGTGCTGAAACAATTTCACAATCTTCGTATCATTCTTCTTGAAATGCCCAATTTTGTTGTGAAGAATTGCATGAAAATTTTAGTAGAATACAACGTCTGGTAAGCATGAGAAGATAATGATTAGCGGGCAATCAATGATGAAAAAAATAGCGTGACGGAAATTTGGATTTAGGTAAGATGGAAAATTCAAATAAATGTCATCGTTCCAAGGTGCGGAACAATCAATCATACATCAACTTGAAACAGCAAATGGCATTGGATTTAATTAAAGTTTTATGCAAAGTTTCTTGTATGTTCTTCAATAGCATTAAGAATTTTCTGAAATTCATGCTTTATTTTTGCTTTAAACTGAAGAAGATCGGAGCATTAATAATGTTTTCAATGAGCTGATTTGCAGTGTGACATTCGAAAACAATTAAATAACTTTGTATACATTTCTGTTTTTCCTCTCCTTCAAAATAAGTAGTGAAACGAAGTTTAGGAAAAATTTAGAATGTGCAAGTTTTAATTGACTGAAATTGCAAACACTGAATATATTGTTTCCACCAGATTGAATCAGTGCACGCGTTCTAAATTTTTCCATCTTGCGTTTTTAAAATTTCTGCAGAAATAGATATTCCTCTATTTCCTTTCAAAAGCAGTCGCATTTTGACTCTCAAAATAAATAGTGGGAAACTTCAAGTCAGGTATCACGTATAGAAATTCCCTTGTTTCTCTCAGGTGCAACGGAGATTTATTTAACGCAGTGTACTTCCTTATCATTGATTGGTTAATGGACGAAATTCAATAAATTTTTGAATATGGTTTTGCGCCAAAATTTTTCGAAAACAAAAAAGTATGAGAAATATTTTGTTTTTGTTGTTAAATACCAATGTTGTAATTATTGCGATCTGTTAGAGGCTTTGTCATATTTTTTAAAATGGCCCACTTTTTTTAGTTGCTGCCACCTATTTAAAATAATATATAGACAATTTGTCGCTCCCTTCCTTCTCCATTGCTTATCCCTTTTCTTCATCTTATCTATTCGTTATGTAATTATCGCAAAAGAAATCATTGCAATCAAATTAAAGTTTTTTTTTTTACTGATCAAATTACCACTTTCCCTTATGCGTTTTTCGTATCAAAGTATTATAATATTGGTGAGTAGAAACTACCATTAAATTTTTCTCAATTTAATTTATAAAAATGATTTTAAGAAGAACCTGTTAAATCCAAGAAATAAGTTTTGTTTCCATGCGGATTGAAACATTGTATATCCAGATGATGTTAGTTGCTCACGAAAAAGGCATTTTTCATCCATCCCGTCATTCTGAAAATTTTGCGAATATTATGTTGCAATATGTATTTTATACGGATGATATTTGAAAGTGATTACTGCATTATTTATTTAATGGAATTGAAATTCTTTGTAATGCATCATTCAGAATCTGTTCATCATTAAAAACTTCTTTTTGAAATGCTGGAAATTGAGTGTAATGTGAATGAAATAATGCAGTGTGGAATTTGTAGAGATTATCGATGGTACTGACATGTTGGAAGAAGTTGCTTTAGAATATTTGGCTAAGAGAAGATAATATGCTAATTACTCCAACTTTTTGATCTAGTCATGTACTAATCCGATGTCAGCGCATGCTTTAAAGCAAATTATAAGAAGAAATGAAGTGATAGCGGTAATACTTCATCATTTACTTTTCATATGTTTGAGTTGTAGAATTTCATATTGCTGTTTGATTGAAAGTGAAAAAAGATTTTTATTTTTTGACACTTAAAATTTTCAGTGTTGATAGCATATAATGCAACCTCCGATAAAATGTAACAAAATAAGATCGAAGCAAAAACAAAATTTTCCCAATGCAATAATTATTTTCCCAATAATGCCAGAAATATCCCCACGAAAAAAACTACTTTTATTAAACAATAACAGTTGAAATGCGACGGCTATACTTCAATAGACGATGATGACAAATCGTTTTTTTTTTTTGTAATTTCGAATAAAAACCCAACCAATCGGCTTTCACAGTATTCTCATACAATAGAAATTATGAGATCAAATTTCTTCCTCATTATGGAATGCAAAAAATATTCTGATGTCACTCAGGTAGTAAATTAATTCTCTTTCACCTTATTAGAATATCATTTCACTTTTATCTTCATGGAAAATTGATTTCCAAAAAAAAGATTCATAACGTCGTCCATTATGCGTTTCTCTCTTCAAACAAATGATTCATTCGCAAGCCACTAACAAGCACATCATTTGACTTTTTGTAAAAAATTAAAATAGAAAACTGATTTTCCAGAATATTTCCTCTACCAGTTTCCTTCCCATCTCTTCCTTCCAACTGCACATGGCTCTTCATATTCAAATCAAACCTAAAAACTTTATTGCATAAAAGTTATTGAATTATTAAATGCTTACTCTAATTGCGAGCCTTTGTCGTTTATTGAAGCATATAAATTTACCGGTAAGAGCATTTTCCATCCGAATGCGCCCTTCATTGTCTGCATGTACTAGAAAATCGGCTGAAAAATTGCATCTGGTTTATGCTTAACTTATTCACTAAAATTAAAAAATACAATACATGAAAAATTGAATTTTTGACTTTCATAAAATTTGAAATTTTGAAAATTGATTTGCTGATCAATTATCAGTTGTGATCAGAAAGACATTTAAATAACAGATAACAAACTTAAACAGTGATTGAATTGTTGTCCTCTCGCATTAGCATGTTTCAAAAAAATCTGTACAAAAGCGGAACTGCATCGACTATACAGTTGCCAAACAGTGGCCGCTTCACCGATCGGCATCAAATTTGCTATTTGCGTAATTGTTAATAATCTAGAAATTGATAAGTTATCATAAAAGACAAAAATTGAGCCTTTATTAATTAACAGCTCCGTCACCAGATTGAAAGGAAATTTAATGAAAGCTTCATTTCTTTTTTTGAAATTAATGAATTTCAAGATGAATCTTAGACAAGAATAGAATTAATGTTGTTTCATTTTATTTTCGATATGAGCATAACTCGCATCAGCAAGCTACCAGACACATTCATTTTCAATCCACTGAATGAATCCCAGAAAAAGACTTCATTCTTGATCTGTGTCATGAATTCATCTAACTGTATAATAAAAAAAGGAAAAACCAAAAATTTCGGATTTTCCAAATTTATTGGAAATTCTAAAGACTGCTGTGGCTCTATGGATCATATCTGTAATGGATTTTATGAAGTTGGAATATCTAATTTTTGAAATCGATAGCATTTCTTATAAATTGCGAAAACTTTGATTTAGTTATTTATAGTCTGCTGGTTGTTTAACTTAAAAATTCCAAAGTTATCATAGAAATTTTTCCTTGACAGTATTTTTTCAATGTTGTGCAACGTCCTGTGATTTGTTATTCTCGATGCATTTCACAAGATGGTGGAAACAAGATAGGAACATAGTTGCGAAGGAAAATTTTCAAATTTTATCAAATTTTACGGAATTCGAGAAACATCTAATTTTTGCGCTTGAAAAGCACTTTAACGTTTTACAAAAATGAGTGAAAACAAATTTACATAATAAAACATTGAAATTTATCTTTAAAATAGGGAAGCAACATTTTATTAAGTAGAATACAAGTATAAAGAGAAATTTTTAAAAGGATTTAAATTAAGTTCGAATGTGCAAGAATCCTGGAAGAATTTATTCTGGATAGTTATTTTGAGTTTGATATGAAATCTTGATGCTGAAGGAAGGCATAAATCAGTGATTTAATTCATTTGTAGGAGAAACAAAAAAATGAGCAAATCATCGGGAGTTCGAATTTCTTCCTTCAAATATGAATATATGGACATTAGTTAAAATGATTTTTGAAATAATTTCAGGCAAGAATTATTCTGACTTCAGATTAAAAAACTCTTTCAGCATTCAAAATTAACATTCAAAATTGGTTAATTTGAAAAGATAAATAAATGTTGTGATGTTCGGAGTATTGGATCGATTAAGTGCGCCTATTTGACTGAATGTTTGAAAATGATGCTATCGATCAAATTAGTTATTTTAAGCAACCGGAATGAGACATTTGATGACAACATTTCAACTTACTCTTTCCTTTTCATTTCTCCTTTCATCTATTTACATGTCCTATTAACATTATCCTCTATCTGTCACGTTAATTGTCTGTAGCACAACTCAGACAGATGTTACACATTATGATATGGATACCGTAAGCCGGTGGGAAGGCCACAAACTGTGAAAATAAACTGCCAACGCCAAGATACAACGTCATATATATTTTTCGATAGTTAGAGCCAAGGGTAATTTGAAATATAACAATGATTTCAAAAATTTGAAGTTGCTGAAGTGATAACAGCAACACACCATAACCAATGAGAAAATTCGTCCGACAGTGTTAATTTAGACGATTGATTTTATTGAGATGAAAGAGAGCTGTTGATAAGTTGCATACATGTTGTTTCTTTAATAATTTTATTTCTACCTAATACTCTTCAATAATTATCATATACATTTCAACATTTTACAGTTTCCTGGAATTTCTGGAAGATTCCTATAATTTCTAGTAATTCTACCTCTTTTCCCTTCTATAATATAATAATTTGTAAGTGCAGACGAAGTAATTTTATTCTAAAACAATTTTAATTTGTTGGTGGCACGGGATCTAACACCGTTACAATAAAAATGAGATTCATATCAACTTGGAGTTAAGTGATTTATAGTTGCTCTCAAAATTTTGGAAATGAACTTTCCGTACTATGCAATACACCAATATACGAGAAAGGAGAAAGACGCAATCCTTAGTTCAAAAAGCTGCAACAAAAAAGGAACTAAAATAGATCGAGAATTGAGAAAAATAAATTTATTTGAATATAAGGGAAGTTCATCACTAAGAATGATTTTTTCTCGTTTTTTTAAGATGACTTTTTTGTTTAAATGAATGATTGATGAGAATAATTAACTCACCAGGACCAAAACGAAAAGTTTAATTAAATCAGAAACAGCTAATCTCTTGTACAAATCAAATCTGTATCAGATTTTTTCCATTTAATCATTCCAAAATTTAAATTTTTACTCTTAGTTTTTTCTACAGCTTACTAAATTTTAATAAATCATAATCAACGGAAGAGTTAAATTATTCGTGATTACCTGACAAGATTCAGCAAGACGTAGTAAAAATAGTCGAAATATCCGGTTTGTTTCACATAACGCATCGGCATCACTCATTACGTATCACTACCATAACAATAATGTGCCTGTTTGTGGCTATTGTTCGACTATCTAAAAAACAAATTTTTGAAATATCAAAGTAGTCAAAATAGCAATATAACTTACTTTGTTCTGATTTCATCTTACTGTGTCAATTTTCGCTTTTAATTTTAAGCCAAGTGATACAATAAATTCGACTGCTACGCAAATTTTTAAACTAATATCAAACATGTTAGACAATGATACTAAATGGACTTATCCAGAATTTTTCTGGAACAGCCACAAAGATCGGCTATGAGAACTGTTTTTGGATGACAACAAATTTACAGCAAGTATTCCATTTGCGCTTTTTCGGCTTGCTTCTTATATGAATCATAAATAGCGAATGCTCTTAACAACACTACTTTTGTATTTATTGTTAAAAAAACTTTTGCAATGTCTTCAAATTGCTCTAGCTGGTTTAATGTTTAAGGTTAAGGTAAGCTGGTGCTTTTGCCCTTTACAAATTAATTTACGTAGGTAGTTAAGAGCTTCTTTCCATAAAATTTGAAATCGAGCTTTAATTGATAAGATATATGTATGAATTAAAATGAATTTTGAAACTAATTTTTCATTTAAAAAAAGCTGCTACTTGAAGAGGGACCAGACCAAACTGAATAACTGATTGGTATATAAGAAAAAAGAAAAAGAAACAAATTAGTACGAAGATTTTGGAAAACCCTTTTCTGATTTCCTCTGCCTGGTTTATGTATTTAACGCTTATTTTTAACTTACTGCACTTGTGAAAAATTTCAGTTTTTTTTTCTGTTTTATAAATGATATGCGGATAGCATTTCAATTTACAGGCAACAGAAATATCGAATGGAGTGGTCAACAAAATTATAAAAAGGTCACGCTCCATAAAGTCTAAGCAAAATAACAAAAAAACTTCAGTATGAGAATATTGAGTCAAATAAAAATTTGTTTCAATGCAAAATCCCGAGGAAATCCGGTGTACTGATTAAATCATAATAAAATACGCTATTCTTCTTTCGAAATGAATTGAAGTGTATTTTGATTGTACCGTACCTGCGCAGTGGAACGTCATCTATTACCTTAAGATGTCACGACCAAGTATATGGATGCGCAGATGAACACCAATTGAATAGACGTAAGAACGGCTACAACTAAATATTGCATATGACAGAGATTTCACTTATTTGAGGAAAATATGTTGTAAATAAATGGTGTAACGCCAAAGAGAGCCGCTAATAGCTAATTTGAGAGAGGGATCTGTTCGAAATGACAAATAGATCTGATTTCATAGCATTTAATCTAATTCAGCATCGATTTAAGATAAATCTTGACCGATGAAAGCTTCATTATTTATCGAAAATTCAGCAACGTCTATTTTCCAGATTTTCCAGATTGAGTTAAAATCAGAACTTCAAGAAAGCTACTAAATACTTCATAAACAGAGCTTTTAAGCATTAAAGGATTTATGCTTTAGAACAATTTCCGTGTATGACGATAATTTTTTGCAAGTCTCAGATTTCAACAAAAAAAAAAGAATAACCATTTTCTGCAGCGTTTAGATCTAGCTAAAAAAGCGTTTAAGTCTAGTTTTTGAAAACTAAAGTATTTGGAGATTAACGCTTATTATTCAAACGCGATTTTGGAAAAACTTAATTTACGGTTTACTAATAACACCTTCTGATTCTCATAGAATGTCAGGAACTCTACATCACATAACATGGAAGAATGAGAAATGTAATATTGTTAGAATGAAATTTAGTAAATGAACAATGAATGCTTTCATTATGAATAACTTGATGGTAACACGGTGCTTAACCGGTATCAATGTGATTTATGGAAATTAGTGGACAATTAATAAATGTTATTGGTAATAATAAGGCAGGCGCCAAGCATCCCCAATCCATGTCTAAACAATTTAGCTGAAGAGGTAATGGAGGGAATAAATACCACTGCATGTTTGCTATGATACGCAAAAAAAAATTTACATACCTTTATTAGCGTCCATAAATCAGCCTCCCACAACAATTAGCAGTGATGTTGCGAACAGACTGTATGTGTGTATGTGTGTGTATGTGTGTATGTGTCTGTGAATGTGTATGTGTATTTGATAGCTGATGAAAGAAGGTAGCATGATCAGAGGAGGGGTCGATCGAGATGTGGAAGTTCAGACGGGTTTTGAAGAGATAAGTACCTGTGTTCGGCACACCTTGAATTAGGTAGGGGGAGGAGACCTCGGGATTACGGGATGGGCAATGGATAGACTCACTTCGTCTCTCTATAGTTAGATGGGACGAAGCAGATGAGTTGCGATATGCTTGCTTGCGAATCGTTTTACTGCGATTGCCTATATTTTGAAATTTCTCGACAGTTTTGGATAGTTTCTCTCCAAAGCCTCTCAACAATGTTAAGCTTAATCAGATATCTGGAACCACTCAAGTGATTGCAAATATTAGATGACTTTTGGGGCCATTTTTAAAGCATTCTTTACTCAACAGAGAGAATGAATTTTCAGAACTGATGAACTCGCAAAGGATATGAGCTTTAAAATTTATATGCATCAAATATGCAGGTCGTAAAAACTTTTCTTCGCAGATATTACGTCAGAGGTCCAGCGCTTCCATGAACTTATTTCCGAATAGCTTTGATCAGATCTTACATGGGATATCCAAGGTTGATTATTCAGCAGATAACATATTAATCGCGAAAGGCAATAAGCATTATGCATAAGTTATTGACACATGTCCACATTATTAATGAATTGTTTACTGCCAATTACATAAGATTCATAACAATCAACAAACTGCAATTTACTAACACAGATCTCTAGTAAAGGTGGTCATCAATTTTTTTGCAAGTTATTTCCCATTGTTAAATGGAATTTGTTTTGATTTCTTCGTAAACAATTCGTGTTACAGAGATGACTAAATGTAATATTTTTAAGCGTTTTCCTACACGTAACACGCCTTACACGCACATGACCCAATGGAATTAGAAGACTTAAGAGACCACAAAACATTAAACCCAACCAGTCAGAAAATAATCCACAAGTCTTTCAGATTTTCATTCAAATGAAAAGCGTACACGTTATCCTGATTTTAGTACTGCAGTCTTAGCACACAAAATCCAAAAAAAAACCGATACTGAATTCGGAAAAGTAAAGAACCAAGAAACTTAGAAGTTTTATTGTCAGTCCAGAAGCTACAAAAGGCAATAATACTATTACGTCCAAAAAATTCAGCCAGATCAAAGAAAAAAACGGCTGGATTTATAACGTCTCAATAAGGAAAATGGATGTTCAGAAATATTCACTTAAATATTTACTAAAACCACTAATGTTCAAAGGTACAATCTCGGTATTTCTCTTTAGAAGCAAAAATACGGACCAGAAATTTAGCCCTTGTTAAAAATCAAATTTAGAGAGCAGAAAGACGATCTTCATCAAAAAAGAGTTATACGAACTATTATGATAAGGTAGTGTCCTGCGGAAATCGCCTCACCAATTTCACAACACTGCAACGTTCCTTCGAAATGCTATAAAGCATCTCAAATAGCATTCGTCTCATACAACTTTCAAACTAATTCCTATCTTGAACAATATTTGAACCAATCATGTCAGATGCAGTAAAGCACAGGTGATAAATGAAGCCCGATATTATAGTAAAAATCAAGATGCTAATAAAAAGCAAACTGGAAAGAAATACTCCAGTCACAAAATAACTTATAACAAGAAAAAAGAACAATAAATAAGCAGAATAAAACGGTAAAAAACAAATGAACAAACAAAAAAGAAATAAGGTAACTAATCAGACACTATCACAATACGGAACAACAAAAAACTGATATGAATGGCTTTTTTTTTTGATAACGATGATTATATCTAGTTAATCAAGAACAGCTGGAATCTTCAGGAATAATGAAACAGTAAATCCCGTCAAACCGAGTAAATCACTTATTCAATGAGGCAGAAACGACACATTAACTTACATACACTAATTTATTTAATGGACAAAACAACAAATAATGAGTAATGCTATGAATAATAAATCACAGAAATTGAAAACAAGCAAAAACTAAAGCTCCGAACCGTCGTGTGGTGCACCGCCTTTTTGTTTACCGGCTTTCAGTTCCTCGTTCTTCTTCACATCAGTCGCGTCGTCGAGAGGCTGTGCATCCCCTGACGTTTCATTTGATTTCTCCTCCGAAACCGTCCTTGGTTCCTCTGTTGTTTCCAATAATGTTTCATTGCTCTCAGCAGTTGTTTTCTCGGCTTTTTCTTCCTTCTTAGCTTTTGGTTTCGCAAATTTCATCTTATTTAACAAATATTTTACTTCACGATCAAGCGACATTAACTAAAATCGAATCTCACATTAAAACTATTTACAATGAATAATTGTGTAAATACATTGCTGTTAATCTGAATCAGCCCAATAAGCAAGTTCTTATCTAAAAATACCGAAGATAAAGCCATCATCTGTTTTTTATTTCTGGAACTGAAACCATCGAGCTCATTTTATCCTTTATTAAATACTGACCTTTTCTTTTCCCTCACTGACAGGAAAAGCTGGTGAATCAGTTGGTTTTAATTTATTCTGCAACTCCATTTTCGCAGTGAGCCAGTTCTAGAATTTACGTATAACACTCCAAATGATTCATTAGAGTCACTGCAATTCACTATCTCGCTTCGATGTAACATTTTCCATAAATTTTCCGTTTCTCAAGCAAGAAATTTCAAGCACTGATATTAGTCAGTTAATTTTCATACCTTAGTTCCATCGAGTAATTTGCTTAAAGAATTGATTTCAACTTCTGTGAACACTTCGGCTTCAGTAAGGTTTTGTGCAAGAAGTAAAAACATTTCTGTATGATTAAACATTGAAATCAGTTCAGCCACCACTGCAGGACGCTCCTGCAATAACAAAAATATCAACTGGAAAAATGCTTAAAATGGTTTATAGTAGCAGAAAGTTCCTTTTCAAAACCGCAAAAGATACCTGCTCCTCTGTTATGCGGACTTTAACCGGCCGTAACAATTCATCGATTGATTTCTTATTCTGCACAAATTCAGCTGTTGGAGTATTAATATCAACGTCATCTTCCAACCAAGTTTTTATTTGCGACACCTCCTTTTGCAGAGCGGTGTGTTCATCGGCAGTTAAAAACCGCTGTAAAAAAATGCGGAAAGTTCAATGATATCTTTGTGAAACGCAGTAACTTGAAAATAAGTAAAAAGATCAGTACAATGAATTCATCTTGCGTAAGTTTATCGCTAAGATCAACAGCTAGTGATTCAAGATCATGATGTGCTTCTTCACGAATCGCTTTTTCCTTTTCTTTCCTCTCAAACTCAGCAATCCTGAAACTCATATTTCGAGGAGTTAAATTGGAACAGAATGCCAAAGTTTCAACCGACCAAGTCTAAATACAGATTAATATTCCATCAGAATCACCTGTTCTTCGTAGCAACAATTTCGCTGCCGGAAATTGGTAGGACATCCAGTATGTTCTCCGCCAACTTTAGGGAAATTTTGATTTGCTGAGGCTTTTCATCTAGCTTTGTTTCTGCCACATTTGCAACTGTCTGAAATGAGAAAAATACATTATTTTTAAATAAAGCAGAAAAAAATTTCATAATTTAAAGTTATAAGGTTATAAGATGTTAATGATAATTATAATTTTAAATTATGAAATTTTCTTCTGCTTTACGTCCTCGATTTCGGAGCCACTTACAATTATAACCCCAACTTCAAGTCACTTTTCCTTTTTCGGGTAAAGCCAGTCTATTGTTCATTAATAAATCGGGCGAATGCAATTAAAAGATGAAAGCAAACTATTTTCAGTCTTCCTATTAAGCCAAATATGCCTATGGGAAATAATTAGTAAATAAGAAATATCTGACATGAAGAATGTTAGTTTATTGCTCGAAAGAGAAATCAATAAACTAATCGAGGAGTAAACGAGTAGAATAAGTTAATATTTTGAAAGAAAAATAAACCAATACGATTATCAGTGAAACTCATACTTTGTTTGTTTCCGCTGGCTTGCTCGTTACCTGCAAAGAATCGGAAAGTTCCTAATCTATAAACCGGAAAAAAGTTTGCGAAAAATTACTACAACTTTATAACATAATCACTTATAAATTAAATAAATCTATGAAAATAACGATGGACTGACATTATCGCCTGCTGGCTTTTCGATTTTAGTTCGATTTTCCGCAATACCAACAGTAGTACTACGACTTTTATCATTTATTTCTTCAGACTTCAAAATTTCCTCGTTTTTCTCTTTAGTTTGATCCATTTTATTATTTGATGAAAATAATCCAGTAATTTTTTCAGCAAGCGCTGCAAAAAAATGGGATATGTGAACTATAAACAAAATATGTTGAAGAGTCATTTTATATCAAGGCCGTCAAAATATTCGCTAAAAATAAATTTCTCACTAGTTTGCATTAAAAAAACCAAACCCAAAAGTTTTGTATAGGTTTTTAAATACTTACAAGCAAGCGTGGACTCTGCTTTTGGTGGTCGTTCTACCAACATTTCGGCTCCATCAAAATGCAAAATTCCCGAGTTATCCAAATCGAAATGCGCTTTTATTCCCTAAAAGTGAATTCGAACTTTATATTGACTAAATTCACAAATTTCTAACTGCAATAGCTATAGGATGTTTTCCGAAATTGATTATTAAAATTAAACAACTTTAGATGCAAACAAATATCGTAAGCGAAAGAATCCTACTCAATGATTTATTTGAGCACATTCCTTAAAATTATACTACCAGATAAAACATGAGAAGATCAAAGCATATCCGAAGTGAACAAAAAACCTTGAAAATGGTGCCTTCTTTTGCTGTTTCCTTTACATACGCATCCGTAACACCACCTATTTTAATTTCGCTAATATTAAGTGAGCCAAATTCCCTAAAACATCCAATAATGTTGTAAAGTACAACTATTTGTAAATCAAATCACATAATTTAACAAGTAATTTGGATGAGAGTAAGTTTTTCAGAACACTATTTAAATAAATAATAACGCTTAAAGCACCTACATAAGCTGATCTGCGCTAAGCTGCCGCATTTCTCCATAATTAACATTCATGGAAAAATCTTCCGTGAATGAAGTAAACGATAAAACTTTTTTAGATGCTGGTATAAACGATCTCATTGGATATATTGGTCGACGTATTAACCGTCCTGCACCTGTTTCATCCTTATTATGCGCACTAATAAAATCAACCTTAAATAAAAAAATAAAGCTAATAGTTCGATAAAGGGCACAGAGTTTTGAGATTATTCATACATCTTACGACCTGATCTACAATACAGTACATTTTAACTTTATAAATGTCAACGAAAAATTGAACAGAAGTTAACACACCTCTATCGGGAATATCTGTAAATCACGCACATCGAACTTCTTGACTTTGAAACCCTTACTTAGATGCGCTGCTTGGTAAACTGCACCCATTGCAATTGCTTCATCGGTATTCAAGAACTTCCCCAACTCTTTCCTCCAAATAAGTAGATGAAGAGGTAAAATTTTATAATAAAAAATACTAATAAATGGTACATGTTTTCCAATAAAAAAACCCTACTTTTTGAAGAATTTCTGAACAAATTCTTGGATTAAAGGAACGCGACTCCCACCACCCATCAGCACTACCTGAGTGACCTGGAAACACAGAACACTGCATCCATGCGCAAGTTACAAAAACAGTTCGTAATTATGAAAAGATTTCTATGCACAAAGGAGAACAGGAAAACCAAATTAAACCTTTTCCGGTGATAGGTCAGCCATTTTCAAAGCATCCACAATAGGCTGCACTAATTTTACTTCGAGATCTCTCATTGCATCTTCCAGCATTGTTCTGGTCACTGACATCGTGAAATCCTGTTCCTCGTGGACACTTTCAATCTGAGCAGTGAAATTGACATTTGCCGAAAGCACCTGACGTAAAAAATCAATTAGCAGGAATGTCTGGTCATTTCCCTACAATGGGACAGAATTGCAACTGGTAATTACTTGAAATACCCGAAATCACTGTCGGCAAAACATACAATTTTGACACGTTCTGCCTCTTGTAACATTTTTGCCATAGAGCGTGGATTTTCTGTTATATCGGTTTTGGTATTTTTCGTTTTGCGAAAGTCGTTCACAAAGATATCTCGCAGCCTTTGTGTAATTTCAAAGCCACCAACCACGCGGTTATAACTGTAACACTGCGCATTTCAATTGAAAAAATTGGCATTGGTCCGCAAAACTACTAAATGTGCAGCTCTGGGTCATTAAGAGTGTAAAAGTTCAGAACAATTATTTCCTTAAAACTACCCGACTCCCAATGTCGTCATAACTGGATCCTTTTCACCTCGTTTCTTTTCCTCCACTAAAACATATTCTAACACCGAAGCAGTAACTTTTGTTGCTCCAACGTCATAAATTAATAAAGTTTGTGCGCTTTCAGTTATTTCTTTCCTTCGAAAAGCACCATAATTTAGACCAGCAGCAGTATGATCATTCAGCAACTAAAAGGTAACAAAAGATAATACTCATGAACCACTTAAAATTTACAGACAGCATCAAGACCTAAAGAAGAAAAATGGAAACATTTCCAAATAATTTTCACCAAGAAGAGACATCTTCAAAGAAAAAAAAGAAAAGAATTAGCATCCGTTGGATCTCTAAAAAGGTACAAGTAGTTCAAAATCAAATCGCACTTGCAGCAAATTCAATTCGGCAATTTCAGCTGCTGTAACCAAAGCACGTCGTTCTGCCTGGTTGAAGAACACTGGAACTGTAATAACCACATCCTTAACAAGCTGTTTCGCGAACTTCTCAACCACTTCCCGACATCTTTTCAAAATCATTGCCACTATAGACTCAACACTGTAAATCTCGCCATCCCTACAATGTGGCCTCGACAGAAATCAACTTAGTTTGTATATTTTTGGCTGAATCAGCGGAAAAAAGAAATGAGTAGCATGTAAAAAAAAAACATGCAATTTTGATTTCTTGGCTCTTAAATATGGACTAACATCTCCGATTACTTGAAAAAGTAAATAAAATTTACACATTGAACTGCACAGCGTCTCTGGCACCATCCAGAATGAATTTTAGATGCGGGAACCGCTCTTTATAAAGTGAAACAATTGGATTGTCGATTTTCTTACCCAAAAGATCTACCAAATGAGTAAAAGAATTTTTCGAATATTTAACTCCCTAAAAAGTTTAAGAAAAAGATAAACTTGATACCAAGAATGTATTTCCATACAAACTAATATACACAACGAAAAATGGGGCTCTCAAGTGAAATCAACTTTTAAAACATGACACTTCACGAAAGAGAAAAACAAAACTTCTTAGTTTCGATCAGTATTACCAATCCTTTCATTTGCCAATGAATCAGGAAAAAATTCTCAATAACCCCACTTACGTTAGTATAAAACACTTACATAAGCCAGTGCTGCGTCACCAAACAGACGTTGGTTATCCTTAATAATGATTAGGTTTGGTGTTTTCCTACGTGCTTCTTCATTCAACACCATTTCCATCGGCACACCTGGTTTCACCAAAGCCATTTTGATCCATTGCGAACCAAAATCTATGGACATAGCAGCAAGTGATGCATCTGAAAATGCGAAAAATTCATTATGAAGATTTTAGAGAAAAGCTTATAAATCAAACAAAACTTCAATTTATAAAAAGAGATGCATTTGCATTAGAAATTCACAAAACTTGTTTGTTGTGGCATACATCGATAAGTTTAAGATGAACTCATTAATCTCCAACTTTTTAGCTTTTTACAGCGTTAAATTCAACGGTTTATTTTCATTTCGTATGATTCGGTGATTTTGGATGGTATTAGCAAAGCAATACATGCCAACAATTTTTTGATCATCAGCTGATGACGTTACTAAAACCATATGAGAAAATCAAAATTTCGAAACAAAATACCCAATTGACATAACTAGAAAGATGGGTCTTTCTGCTTTGCATGGTGAAACATAGGTAAAACCTTGAAGATCAAATTTCACATAAAAATAAGACTGCTCTTGCGGCTAAAATAGACATTTTATCCTTCAGTTCTCTTAAATCCTTGACGCATGCAGCAGTAGTGTTCAAATAATTACAGTTTAATTCCCTTACTGTATAGTAATTTGAACTAACCCGATAGTGAAAAAAATGTGTTGATGACAGCCGTTAAACAAAGAAGTATACATTTGTAGTCCATTATTGTCGTTAACCGAATTTAACGAATATAGAACCGTCTGAAAATGAAGATGAAATACATTGCATTTGACGAAGTTACAGGATGTCATATTTTCATAAGATCACCACAGAACAACATTTATTATGCCAAAGGGCATTACGTATTCCATTGTGCAGAAAAGATTATGTCAAATATAATGATCCTTTAAAAGAAAAGAGTCACAAAATGCAACACTCAATAACCTTCAGAATTCACCAACTTCTTCGATTTTCTCTGGTATTTTTAATTCCAGGACTAACGGATTTACAGATCTCATTTAAACATTGTAAATTATTCTCAGATCTCATTTAAACATTATAAATCTTTTTGCAGACTCGTGATGGTCTCTGCGAATTCCGAATGAAAAACGGTAAAACAGAACAATCCTTATAAACCAGCACAGCTGACAGATACCGCTGGCGAGTATTGACGTCTGAACTCGTCAATCTCGCGGCCCATTAATAGCAGCTCTTGTCATTTTCCCAACTACGACGACTCCCAGCTGGCACTCTCCAATCACTTTCAATAAATGGGGTCTTTCTCCCCCCAATCACTCTTTCCAGCTTTTCACCTCGTCATCTACTGTCTTTCATTTCCACACATACTCTCTTCATCCATCGACACATATTGTAGCAAAAGGACGAGGGTAGATTTTAGGTGGTGCGTCCTGTGGAGCGATGCGAATAGTTTTTCAGTTGTGGGGTCGTACGAAGACTGGGGGAGATTTGGGATCCTTAGGGAGGAGATGGAATGGTGGGGTAGTTTGGGATGACTCTCTCTGCTATCAGGATTTTCAAACTGACATCGTAAGATTGTTGTGGGGAGTTCCCACTCTCTACGATCGCCATACATTCTTAGAAGCTGATGATTTGATAATTTCTAGTGATAGTTTCGTCGCGCAATGAGTTTGCTTGCTAGCCATGTTGTTAGAGGGAACTCTTTTCCACTACTCTCGATATGTACAACTTTTAACCCCGCAAAAAACTCCGCTTCACTTTCCATTTGAACTCTTTCATTTGCTCTTTAAATGGCGAAATCAACTTCTGAACTATGCATATATTGAGGATGTTACACATCAGTTCTTAGACTTTATTGCAATATGATAATTATGGTAGCTTGGATGTTCGAGCCGTTTTCTAAAGATACTGCGCCTCGCTTTTTACTCATGTTGTTTAGTATTGTTCATTTGTTATCACACTTGTTTCGTCTCCGTTCCCTTGTGTCTTAGTCTTCAGTACTACGTTTCATATAGTTTTCAGCAATATGCCACCATTCCTGCTGTTCTTTTTTTTCTACCTTAGACATTCATAACGGATTCCCTTCAGCAAATTCATATATTTCCTTCTTACTTATCCTTTCTTACTCGTCAGTCGTTCTACATATTCTTGTGAATGTGTATCACACTTTAGGTAATTGTTAAACATTGAATTTATTCAATATGGCTGAACGTGGAGGTTTTCGAGGTGGATTTGGTAGCGGCGATCGGGGTGGTAAGTGCTTTTCATGTTTTTGGCGATCCTGATAAAGAACAGTGATGAGGATAAGCTTGTTGACATTCAAGTTTGTAGATATCTGATTTCATATTATTACACTGCTTGCTCTGTCTGATGAAGATTTTCGACGAAACCTTGTTTTCGCAGCCTTCCTTAAGGGTTGGGTGTGTTGTAGACCAGTACAGCTTGAAATGCTTCCAATTCAAATTATTATGGTATTTACGTGTTTACTAAAGCAAAACGAAATAATGTAGGTAGAGGCGGTCGTGGAGGTGGTGAACGAAGTCGTGGTCGTGGTCGAGGTCGAGGTGGACGCGGTGGAAGGTTAGTATCATTTCTGTTCAAGTAATGTGATTCTATCCATGTTATCTTGGTGTTCTTCATAGTCAATTTGTTGACATCTGCTACAATAGAATCAGTAGAGAAATAGCCATTTCACTCGATATAAATAATATATGCCCAGATTTTTATCATGTTGGCTTTCTGCAATATAACAAAGATAAAGCCTGTGCGGGGAATTCTAATCTCTCCAACTTTATTACTTGTTCCATATGATGTATGCATCACAGTTTACACAATTGCTTCATTCCTGAGATTTCAGAAGTGGAAAGGAAGGTGATAAAGAATGGGTGCCAGTAACAAAGCTAGGACGTTTGGTCAAAGATCGAAAAATCACTTCGCTTGAAGAAATTTATCTGAACTCGTTACCAATCAAAGTAAATAAACATACATCATCACTATTAGCCTTAATGTGTTTATGTTCACAGTGTTTAAGAAATTTAAGTAAATCTTCCGTATTTTTAATTTTTTTCAGGAATATGAAATTATCGACATGTTGCTGTCTAATTTGAATGATGAAGTATTGAAAATAATGCCAGTGCAGAAACAAACTCGTGCTGGACAGCGTACACGCTTTAAGGTTTGTGAAGGCATAGTGATTTAGTATACTTGTAAAACTGAAAGTAATCTGTTCAGGCTTTCGTTGCTATTGGAGATCACAACGGACATGTAGGTCTGGGGGTGAAGTGTTCAAAAGAAGTGGCAACAGCTATTCGTGGTGCGATAATTGCCGCGAAGTTATCAGTCATCCCAGTACGTCGTGGATATTGGGGTAACAAGATCGGTCAGCCTCATACTGTCCCTTGCAAGGTATTTTTTATTTAGCCTGAGGAGTGCGTTAAGGAGTGACTGATCTTTAATATAAGAATATGCTAAACTTTTTTCAAGGTCACTGGAAAATGTGGTTCAGTACTGGTGCGCCTTATTCCTGCTCCTAGAGGAACTGGTATTGTATCAGCACCTGTGCCAAAAAAACTGCTTCAAATGGCTGGAGTGGAAGACTGTTACACATCCGCTGTTGGACAAACTGCTACGCTGGGCAATTTTGCAAAAGTAAGTTTTTTATTCGAAATGTTTGAAAGTACGGTTTAATGGATATTTCGGCCTGAGTCTTTTCGCATATGACTCTCCTCCTCCCATTGGAAGATGCACTGTGGTGCATGACCGAGAGAACTTGATGAAGGTGCCGATGGAACTTTTTTTTTTAATTCAGGCAACATATGCAGCGATTCAGCGTACCTATTCATATTTAACACCTGATTTGTGGAAGGAGCAATCTTTAGAAAAGACTCCATATCAGCGTTATTGGGAATTCCTTGCGCAAAGCGCACCTGTTCGAGTTTGATGAGGACGTTGCCTGTTTTTTATGTTGATTGCTGAAAAGTTATGTATATGTCCTAATGTCGTTGTACCACTTTGATAGTGTTCGGGGAATAAACTTTGATAAATTTATATTCAAAAAGTGGATTCTGTTTACTGTGCACACAACTGCGAGTAAGGAATTAAAATTTACCTAATTACGCGTATCAATAACGATTGGATGGTTCTTTATAAACTATCATCCATCTGGCGGGTTGTTCACAGTCGTTGTCACCATCGGGACACAATCTATTAAAGGTCTTCTCAGGTTCGAAGCCCAGGATTTCTCTATCTTCCTGTATCCGATATGAGAAAGTTGATGTATGGGTACCAATAAAATAGCGAGCATGTGCGCATATCCACTGCAACGGACATCCTAAGTACGCCAGCAACAAGAAAATCAGATTAAATTCTGCGTTAGCAAACGTGTTATAAATCAGGGAGGTATGGAACCTGGTCAACAATGGAGACTTCTCCATCATCCAAAAACGAGTCGTTTAGGAATCGTTCAACTTGTATGTCAGACGGCAAGAGACTGATAAGGGTAGTCACTTCAGCAGTTGAAGCATCGGTACATAAATAGACAGTAGTGAGATTTTCTTTTCGCAGAATCACAGCGATCTTCAAAAGTGCCAGATTTTGTTAAACAAAGAAAAGTTTAGAATATCTGATACTTTTTGGTCCCACAGTTTAGAATGAAAAATATTTACAAGATGTTGGAACTATATTCTCATGTATTTAACACTCAAACAAGCATTCAAACCTGCTCGGCGGTACTACTGATAGATGGTATATCAGCACTATGAGATCGCACAAAGTCACGACGCCTCCAGTGAACACATACATATTCTCCTCCTTGCGCTTCACCATGTTCCTGAAAAATTTTTTTCTTCAGCTTCAGCTTTAACAGGATTTCATTCGATGTATTAAGCTAATGTAACATACTTTCCTCGTTGTCTTCCATGAATCGGAAAGCACAGTTCCATCTCTCACATCATTTGAGTTCAATCGTTCTTGCCTTAAATGTACAACGATCAAAATTTTGAAAAATGCGTTGGGGAATCAAGATGCTACATTTAGCTTTTCTATTCCAAACGCTGCATGAGAACCCCATTTCAGAGCAAACACATTGATCAACATCCCAACTCATTTGTTAGGTTACCTAAATTCATCAGCAATAAAACGCAGGTGCTTTGCGTAACGCATGGAGCGCCTCGCTTCCCAGTAATGAAAGTCACCAAAATGTGAATGAAGCACCGTTTCTGCGCGATCAATCATCAATGAATTGGCATAGTGATAATCTTTTTGAATCATATTAGCTAATGTCTCTGAATCGCCTTGAATTGAAATGCACGAAAATTTGCGAGCATAGACGTCTTTAAAGCCAAAAAACCAGCCTTTCCTGGAAAATACTATACTGAAGGTAAAGACTAATTTGTCGGTATTAGATTTGATTTTTTGAGGAGTTCAAGAATAAAGAGTGCAAAATTTAACATCAAGCAGGAGGAATAGCGCAGCGACTTTCAGTTCAAGTATTCAAGAAATCTCCAGGAAGCAAATGGTATAAAAAATTTGATGTTTATATCGAGTTCCTGCTTAACATCCTAAAATCGTACCAATGTTCATTAACGGATCTGTAATAAGGAACACCAGTGATGCAGTCCCGCTGATCATATTTAATTTCATATTTCCCATCCATCCATCCTTCTGCATAACCTTGCAAATACAATACTTCATCGATTTCATCGTAATTTCTTTCTAGAAATGAGGGTTGTACCTAGCTGAATTATTAACAGATCAATTTTGTAACTATTCACTTATTTTAACCTCAAAGTGGTCTGCGACTTAACCGATTTCGTTGCCAATAAAAATCAAAACATTACATTTATCCCTTCTTCATTTTCTATAACTTTAAGATGTCAAAACTCAACTTCAGCAATGTATATTATATTTGAACTCAAGTTCTTTGAGTAAGAATGATTTTCCCCTGTAGTGTGAAGATAATTGAAAGCGTACCTTTTAAAAATTTGTGAAACTCAATCACGGGAACAAATTCATTAATGCTCTGAATATGGAAAAACTTCGACCAAGGTGCTTTTAATTGATATTTTTGCCAATGATAAAGATCACCCCATGGGGGTAGTACAAGAACATAATTATGACCGTGTTCTCGCAAAATTCTAACTGTATTTGCTATTCTGTAAAGTATATTTGAATAAAAATTCATAACAAATTCTGATTGAAGCTACAATTTCTGATGTAGCATGAATTCTGATATTTAATTATGGGTAACGTAAAACCATTGCAACAGTTAAAAATAGAAATAGAAGGGAAAACAGCAAACAAACGAGTGGGTTCTGAATTACCTCATATAAACATCACGACGTAGGTTAAATCCTTCGCCGTAATTGACATCGTAAATTAGAAACTTCTTTTCATCTCTACTGACGTCATTTGCTAATACAGCAACACTTTCATTAGCATCACAACAATTCAATGTAAACAATAAATAAAACAACACACAGGGCATAACTAGAAGCCAACAGTTAATATGAAGATTTGAAGTATACAGTGCCTGGCAGCACTTTGAATTCATATGCTTGTTAAATTTAACCATTTTCATATTAGCGAGCCATTATCTTGCAAGAATCGAGAAATAAGAAAAAAATGAAACCTGAAAAGAAATAAAAAAGAAAACGAATGAAAAAAAAAAAACGAAATAGTAGGCAAAACGATGAAACCCAGCTTAGTGTCTGCAATCATTACGTTTGATGACAACAAAGTAAGAGCCACATCCAAGTTTAATTAACAACAATCCCAAAGCATGATAGATGAAACATTTAACGCATAGGCTAATTTTCTATACCTGAGCGAATTCCCCAAAGCAATCCACCCATGAAATATCCTACGAAAAATGAAATTTCTTTTATGGTCATTTATGTGGTCGCCGCACCGAAGGAGCATATGTGTAATTGCTTGATACATAAACATTCCTCAACTTAACACATTTTCTCACGGCTGCAAAACGAGTGAATAAACAATGAAACCCTACTCATCCGCGAGATGCGATCAAGACAGACTCACGTCCCACACTTCCCGCGCGGCCCGTTACTGATTGCTTTAACATGAAGAGCACTTGTGTTTCCCGTTGCTTGCTGGTGGTGATTGGGCCGGTTTGAGTGTTTGGATTAGTATCTCTCAAAGTCCTTGAAGGGTTTGAGAGGAATGACGATTGAAAAATGCGAATGTGTAGGCGAAGACATGAACATTGGCATAAAGGCGAAGACATGAACACTGAGGGATGACGATTGAAAAATGTGCGAATGTGTAGGCGAAGACATGAACATTGACATAAACCACTTTACTCAATGCAGTTCACGAAAACTTTTTTCCAAGAATCAGACTTACCAACTACGGGGATGTTCACGTTGCGATGCTGTGGATTTTGCGCTCCACCTGGCGAAACGAACGCAATGATTTGAAATCAATCCGAAGCCTTGGATGAACCGACCATAATTAAACCTTTGCCGGATGTCGCTATGTTGGAGCTTGCACACCCATCATAATTACCGGAAAAACCTGAACATCATTATCTCTAATGGTGCGCGTCCATGCATCAACAAACGAGGAGTTTTCAAGGGAATTTCACCTTATCATAATGTCAGATTTATGATGTTTAAGCCTTGTTGAGGCTTAAGCATCATAAATTTGGCGTTCCAGTTACTGGCAAACTTTTCTCTTTCATTTATATTTTTATTTTATTTGTTTATTTGAACTCTGAGTAGTTTGTGTTTGCTTTAAACGAAATCTGAAATTCTCCTTGCTGAAGTGATCAAAATTACGAAAGTTGACATAACGCCATCCTTCTTTGCCTAGAATGAGCTTGGAAATGCATCTGACGAACAGAGTGACATGCACAAGGCACGGGATAAATGCATCAGTTCTTGCGAGTACATCCTAAACATTACAAATGACGAAATTTCTCGCTTTCCGGTTGCATCTAGTCATTTATCCAGACTTATCTCTTGGTCGATATTTTAATGCATTAGTTGGGAATTCATGATGGATTTCGGATTTCTCCGTAATTTATTACTGGATGATGAAAAGATTTTCGCATTGCACTATTTCAAATGAAATTATGTAATTGGAGCAGCGATTATGCGATTTGAAAACTGGATTTTCTTTTAGTGAGCGAAGTTCGGAATTACTCTTAGCAGGAAGTGAAAATTTTTCGAAGTTTTACCGTCGCCAACTTATGATCCACACCGATATCGGTTTTTCAATAGATAACAAACTAATCAAACAGTTAGGACCTTCCGTATCATCGAACTTCAGATTTGTTCTAAAAATCAGTTTACTTTTGTTGCATTTTCGTATGGTTTTTCTAAATTTGTTAAATCAAGTGTTATTATGTTCAATGATTTAAGCAATCTCCATATATATATAGTATTTAAAATACTGCTTTATACATAAAATGTTGTTGGAAACGGTATTCTCAGCGATTTCATTCTCCTTTAAATGAGAAATTTATTGGTATGTTTTTTGAGAAATAATTAAAAACTAGTTGCTTCATTTTTCCTTTCAAAATATGGAGAAAAAATGGATTTTCATGTGCTTTTGCAGAAGAAAGGACATGGTTTACCATTATCCGATTCCGGGAACTCGTGTACATCTTCATCAGGTAAGCAAGCTATACTCTTAACAGGTTCGCAAATTTGAATTTTCAGATTTTGTACTAAGACAGTGGAAATTCCACATAGTGTGTGAATTTCTTCATTCTAAGAGTAAGCTTTATTGATCCTTCTCTGCTAATAAAATTCGTTGTGTTCTGAGTATACTGTTAAACAGAATGATATATTTTTTCTGTTTTTTAAATGATGATTGAAACTCTTGAGGTCACATTTGCTGGTGATAGTGTGACTGTACTCTTGAATACAGTTTTATATACACATTCCTGAAAAAGAGGACTCACAGTGCCAACCGCCAAACTATTCCATTTTTGCAATATTATTTACAGGCGATGTTTGATTTGGGGTCCTAGCACGCTAGTTTTTTCAGCTTAAAACATCTGGGACGTCCGTCCCATATTAGAGCGACAGTGCTCATCCTTCTCTACTTCGATCGTCGATGAGACATCTAAACGAATTTTTTATGATTTACTATTTCATGATTGAAATTCATATAATGTTTGTGATGATAGAAATATTGTATATTCTCATTTCAGTCATAAGTCTTAGAGTAATCAGTTCCTGTTTGTGTTTCAAGAGAAGTTATCACTGTAATGAAGATCGCAAATACAGAGACAGAAAATGTTGAAGTGCCGGAATCGAATAGCTAAAATGAACAAACAGTAAAATCTCTTGTTGGCAGTTTAATATTGAAAACGTAAGAAAATTTTAGACAGTAGTAATTTTTGACATGTTCAATCAATATAAGGGATTGAGAATTTTGATATCGGCGCCTAAAAGAATTTCGCAAAAGATATCTATTTTATAGATTCTGCTGGGTTTTTCTTTGTCTAGAATTTTCGACATAGGATTATAGGACGGGCAAATGTCTTTACCACGGTGCTATTATCGCACTATCTTTAAGATACCTCCCGCATTATTTATGCTGCGAATGGAATTATGATACTGGTTGTAACCTGATGTTTCTTTTACGAAATCCGCTTGTAACGTTCATATAAATTTTGTTCTGTAGATGTTAACTTTTGTAAAATTGTATTTATTGAATGTTTTTTTTATAGTTTTCGGGTGTTTTGCTGCTCTTAGCCTTCGTATTTCAAATATTTCACATCATCCTCCACATTATCTGTTTTTTTCTCATTTCATTTCTTTTGATTAACTTCTTATATTTTTGATTCTCGCGGTTTCTCTCACTTTTCACTTCATTGTTATGTCTATTCATGATATGCAATGTCAGTCGAACTGTATTTGTCTGTTTTTTTTTTCTATTTTTGGACATTTTTGTCCAAATCTTTTCTTGTCTTTGCTCCTTAATTTGAATTACTTTTCTAATTTTTATATTTTTCAAGTTATTGTTCTATTTATTATCTGTGATAACAATTTTTAGAATCTGCTATATGCTTCTATTCACTTTGTATATAAAATATTCGAAATTATTCTATATTTTCATCAAAGTCATTTTATAATGATTTTCGTGCTACACTTTGTTGAGTCCTAAAGGGGGCTTCCTCCAGATCTCCTTAAATGGTTTAATTTCCGCAAAAGGGAAGTGGACAGATTTTAATGCTGATGATAGAGATGTAGGCTCTCGCAACGAAGTGCCCAGGAAAGCAGGATGTGGACTTATGGTGGAGGGGGCGTTGGTCAACTCGTAGTGGGATGTAGTGATGTTTCAGAGATGTTTCGCCAGAAAAGCATGAGCCGACGTAATTTTCTTTTGACCTTATCACATATTTCGTTTGATTGTTGTCGAGGTTGACCAGGCGGAATAAGAAATAGTATGGTTTGAGGTGTCACCACTACTTTAACTTTCCATTATGGTGTCGAAAAATACAGTATAGATGAAGTGATCCCTCTTCATCCCTTTAAGTTATCATTTTTCTTCATTGAGATTAAAATGAAGAACGAAATTTCAAATTACCTTTTTTTAAGATTTAGAAGTCATACGTAACAAACACCTATATTGGGGTGTTGGGCTATAGAACGCTCAGTAACATATTAAGCTCATTGCTCAGACTCAGCCAAACAGTGAGGAAGTACTGAACTACTTAAGGAAAAATGGGAATACAAAAAAGGGTGGAAATTTATTCACTTTGTTGTTCTAATATGTTGGCTGTCATCGAATAAACGATCATATTTCGGAAATTGTTGCGCATTAAACGATTGCTTTCAGGGGATTTAATAATTATCTAATTCATGTTTACTGATTCTATGTAATTACTTTGATGGCTTATTTTAATACCACTGATCTCACTCCGGCCGAATTAAAGGATCTCGCTTTTCTGCGTGCACGTCGTTCTGGAATCAATGAAGATGTTGAGGTGAATATTATCGTTCTTTATTTTTGAATTTGTTGTCTCTGAAATTGTTTTGTTTAAATGCATTAATTCAGATGATTTATTATAGATATCTTTTGCAGGAAATCCGGTCAGAGCTGGATGGAATTAATGCGCAGTTAGCAACAATCGATATTCCTGATGAAGAGTTAGTTCTTATCTAAGGTTGACTGATAAATTTTTCTTATACGAAGGGTTTTCTGCAGTAATATCTAAAGATTTGTATTAATTTTAGGTATAGTCCAAATGGAAGACATATGTCTATAGCTAGGAAAAATTTTAACATAGATCCCAAAAAGGGTATGGAATATATGATTCAGCATAACCTTGTTCATAACTCATCTGCGTCGGTTGCGGAATTTCTCTACAAAGGGGAAGGTAAGTCTTTTGTCATTTTAGATTTATTTTTCTGTTTGACATAGGTTGACATAATAGAAAATTCGGTTTTACCGAATGTTATATTATCTCATTTTTTACAGGACATATAAAACATACTCTCGATGATAACA